GCACTCCGCGTACCCGCACGTCGCGCGCACAACACCCCGCTACAGGAACAACGTCACCTACCCGCTGAGGAACGTTTTCCCAAATTCGATCTAATTTTGCACACGACTTAATGACGCAATTCGTGTCTATAACATGAGGTGACAATTTTATCAGTTTCTTCTGACGAAGACCAGACACATATCTGATTAAGAACTGACAGCTGTAGGACCCGTCTGCAATCATAGATTCGCTACATGTACCTTGTCCACAGAATGGTAACACGAAACGATCCAACAATAACTATGGAAAACAAGAACTGTCATAATACGCAAATTAATTAAAACATTGTTAAAAAAAATAAGGTTGCCCCTGGGCTGAAGAAAGCATCACTCCATGAAGACGGGGGAGTGAAAGTGTAGCTCAGCTCCACGTAAGATGGCTGTCTTCTGGGTTGTAGCTCCGTGTAGTCTGGTAGAAGTTTACCGACGTTTCAGAGGTCCTTGCTGCCTCCATTATCCCATCTTCGGACTCACCGCCGTGAAAACCTCAAATCCTACACAGTTAAACGTAATTTAACCTGGATATTAAGATGCCAGTGATTGGTTTCACGTTCCAGCCGTTGTAACCCCGGGAAATAACCTAGTGTTCCCATTGAACAGTAGGCTGAATGAACTCAACAGAAGGTTTTGACGCGGTGGCGAAGAGATAAATCCCTACCAGTTAGCGAATCGAAACCCGGTCATCCAGCCCGAAGCCAGTTACTTTAACGACTGAGCCATTAGAAATATTGCTATGTAAATGCAGCCAATAGAATAGACCAATTTCCCGGGAGGATATATATCCTTCTTATAATCCTAGTAACTTTTTATTTTTATTTATTGTTCATTCAATTGTGTTTATTATGCATTACGTGTATTTAAGTGCCTACCTGTTATAAGCTACACCTGTTAGCTGCATTGAAATAAATTAAATTAACTGAATTATCATCACCATATTACGGAGTACCTGTCGAAAAGCCAGGATCAAAGCGTATCCCTGAGACTCATTACACACTTGCTTCTGTAAAACACTCTTGAAATCAATTAAGAACTATGTAAATATCTTCCTCAGCTCTCATAATGGCCATCTTTCGTAGTTCCACGCTTGAGTGCTTATTAAGGGTGTCAGGGATGTCTTCTAAATACTTCTGAAACGATCGTGATGATTTTCCATTTGAATCAATAATAATCCGTACTACCTTTGCCTTCATATTTCACACGCGGTGCATTATTATTATTATTATTATTATTATTCCATTTATTTGCCATTTTACAGGGTATTTACTTCTACGTACCAGAGACAAAACTTGCCCTTGAGGTAGATAGTGAAGCAGCTATTTCCGAAATACATTTTGCTTTCAATGTGTGTTATATGTATTATATAGTTTTATTGTGAGGGATGACTATATATTTTACGACAGCGTCTTTCGAATGATGTATGAAGATCCCAAAATGGCGGTTTTGTGAAGTTCCCCAATGTCGTGTTCGCCCGGGATGTTGGCCAAATATTTTCTGAGTGACTTGGAGACAGTTCCAGCTGATCCTATAATTATTGGAACTACTTTTGCTTTCACTTTCCACATTCGTTGTATTTCAATGAGAAGTTTCTTGTATTTCAAGATCTTCTCCGCTTCCTCCTTAATTACATTTCTATATTGCTATATCAATTAAGATACATGTTCCGTTTTTGTTTCGAATTATAATATAATGTATTATTATTAGTAGTAGTAGTAGTAAAATCCTACTAGGATGCACGAAACGGTCAAAAAGCTTTGAACCACTATATATATATATATATATAGGGTGAGTCATAAGTATGTTTACAAACTTCGTGTGCGTGTTCCAGGATCAAAATTAAGAAAAATGTTCCTACGAACATGGGGCTGCAAATGTTTCATTTTCGAAATAATAGCCAAAAATAAGTTTCAACGCACTGACTTTATGTCAAAGTGAATTCAGCTTCCAGCAAAGATTTTCAATTAACGTTTGGACAGGAATTGTTAGCGAAATGCTTATTGGTCCACACAAGCTTCCATTGCGTCTAAGAGGACCTTCAGATCGGCGATTCTTAAGAAGACACTTGCCACGTCTCCTTGAAGATGTACCACTGAATACAAGAAGACAAATGTGGTTTTTGTACTACAGAGCCCCAGCACACATCTCCCGTCACGTCAAATATCATCTCAATGAACAGTACCCTCAGCGATGGACTGGGCGTGGTGGCCCAGTAGCATGGTCACCGAGATCACCGGACCTGACTCCATTGAACTTTTATCTGTGGGGTCACTTGAAGTCCGTCGTTTATCCGACACCCATGAACAATGAAGACGATTTATGGGAACGTGTGCAGAATGAATGCCAGATGTTTCGAGGAAACCCTGGTGTGTACGCACGAATTCGTCAGACTTGGGTACGTCGAGCTCGAGCATGTGTGGAGAATGGAGGAACAACCTTTGAGCATCTGTTATAAAGAAACATCCCTGTCCTTATACTTTGCAATAAAGACATACATTGAAACTTATTTTTGGCTATTATTTCGAAAATGAAACATTTGC